CCCCAAAACCCCAAAACCCCAAAACCCCAAAACCCCTTATCAAAACTATAATCTTGAAAAATAAAATCTAAAATAATATAAAATTTAAAATGTCGAGAGCAAACAAGAAGAACGTCAGAACGAGTGACAAGACTGTCCTAAAATCTGATGTAATAGGCAAGTTCTTGACTGACTTCACTTACAGTGAGGACTGGCAAGGTATGCGCTTCGTCCGTCTGGAATGTCCTAACAAGAAAGTGGATGGTCTGGACAAAGCTTTGCTTGAATTCAAATTCCTCAGGTTCATCAACCTCGAGAACAACAATATTGGAGATGTCTCGCTCTTCCAGACCTTTGAAAGCTTGGTGCATCTGAACCTTAATAAGAACAAGATCAAGAACTTGAACGCATTCAATGGAGAGGAATTCTTTCCAAACCTAAAGAAATTGGAACTGGCTGATAACAGCATTTCAGAGCTTATTCCTCTTACTGCTCCTAAGCTGGAATACTTAGACATCAGTAACAACAGTTGTGGAAAATTTGAGACATGGACAGGAAGCCCATCTATCAGAATTTTTAAAGCAATGAAAACACAGATTAAGTCCCTCTCGATCCTGAAAGAAATGCCTGCTCTGGAAGAGGCTTACCTCCAAGATACTGGGATCAACGCCTTCAATGGCTACGAAAATCTGCCTGCTTTAAGAATCTTGAATCTCAGAGGAACTAAGATTAACAAAATCGAGGAAGAGTTACCAGAACTACCAGCCATTGAAGTGATTAACTTCAGGGATACAGGGTTCCACACCCTGGAGAACCTAAAGAACATCTTCCAGTTCACGACTCTGAGGGATCTGAACATCCTTCAGACACATTTAGAGGAGCATGCTTCCTCCTTCAACATGCTGATGGCAGAGGTACTCAACCTCTTCCATGACTTGCAGAGGTTCTGCAAGGTCACCGTTGCAGACCAGCACAAGTACGAAGCTCTCTACCTTGCTGAGTATAAGTGGAGGAAAGCTGAAGAAGAGAGAAAGAGAAAGGAAGAAGAAGAGAGACTTAAAGCTGAAGCAGAAGGAGCTGATTCTTAGCATAATTTCTCAATATTTAAGTTTTATAACGGGGTTTTGGGGTTTTGGGGTTTTGGGGTTTTGGGG